CCTCACTGCCTCCCTCGGTATTTTCGCCCAACACCCACTCCCCCGCTTTTGATTTGTCTGTTGATTTTTTTAATAATCCCAATTGATGTCGTGCAAAATATAAATCAACGTAAATAAAGTAGCTTGGAATAATGTAAGCAAGGCGGTAGTTTACCAAAACCACGTCTTAACTCAATCAAATAAAATTAAATCATAACAAAATCCCAACCAAATCAAATCTTTCCTTTCCTTCCCCAACGCATACCCAAATCAAATCAGATCATACTGAAACCTCAACTGTGTCAAAACTTCACTAGCTCCCTTACCTGTGCTCAAATCAAATTAAATATTTTCAAAATATAGAATATGGCGGTTGTAAGGTATATGTCGGACAAAATTGATGTTTAATCACTAGAATATGTATGCCCCCGTTGCAATGCGGGGCAATTAGCTAGTATTTCTATTGTTTTATTTTTGTTCTAAAATATGTATTTCAAAAATGTTCTTTCAAAAATACATTTTCAAAAAGAATTTATAAGCTAGAATTGTATTTTGATAAATCCATGTAATTTGAAAATATTAGCTTCAAGTAATTAGAATTGTTCACATTTGTTTCAAAAAGGTAGTGTAATTAAAATTGTTTAGATCATTTTCTAGAAAAAATCATATAATTAATTAGTGTTCAATTTGTTTTAATATTATATAAAAAGTGTACCATCTGTTTAAAAAATGTTATTGTATAATTTCAAAAGTTTTCACATCTTTGAAAAGTATTCATTTATTTTTAAATATACATTCATGTAATTTTAAAAAGTTCGCACTTCTTTAAAATTGTTCCCTTGTATGTCTACACAAATTACTAAATGTTTGTATAATTTTATGATAATTCTATGTATTTTAAAAGTAGTAAAAGTAAAAAATTAAAAAATAAGAAGAAGAGAGTAGAAGAAACCTAATAAGAAAAAGAAAAAATAAGAAAAAGAAAAGAAAGAAGAAAAGCCCGAAGAATACCCAACCAAAGACCATAAAAACTCAAAAGGAAAAAAAGAGAGAAAAAGTGGCTACAAATGGTCTGGCCAAGTGCACGTATCCCATGTGCGTTTGGTCGTCACTTTGACGCGGGGAGCTTCGTACAGGAAACCCCCTTAAAACCTCAGTCGGAATTGTTGGGCCTGTATTCAACTTGAATCAATAAAGGTTCCCCGGTCCCAAAACAAGTCTTTTTTTTGTGGGAGGGTCCTAAAATAAGTCAACCGTCCGTTGCAAAGTAGACACACATATTCCGTAGAAAAAGGTACTACATGCATACACAACAGGTGGAGAGCAGCACTTTGTGTGTATATTGTGTATGCATACATACATGCATTGCATATCATCATGAGCAATCACTCTTGCACATAGAATGACTGCTCCTGATGATATGTGTTTCCAAATACCTCAACAACTATATATGTATATCAACAATGGATACATGAATGCTAACCAATGGTATATATTTACGCGCGCACACAAGCCCGCGGTGTTTAGACAACTTGATGATCCTATCGCAGGATGATACCGCTGAGCGGCGGCGCCGGCTGCCAGAAGTCGGAGGTGTTGTCGGCGCCCAGACGCGAGGTAATGCACGACACCGGCACCAGGCACATCCCTCTGCTCCTCAGATCCGACTTCTTGCCCTCGACATCTTGTGCATCCTACATATGTACCAATCGAGTAGTTTAATTAGTATTTGTGATCGATATCGACGTATACGAAGCAAACAAATGCAAATGCGTCTATACATGTTTGTACAAACCTGTTGGGGACGGGCTGCTTCTGCCGAGGAATTTATGTGATCGCCATGGTTCAGCTGCTGCACGCACAAAAGAAAGACCAGTTATAGTTAAGGTTGATTATATTTGGAGCAAAGTTGGATAGAAGTACGTGCGCACTCGCGGTTTTTTGACGCGAACAGCAGGAGCTCTGCCTTTGCATTATAGAAGAAAGAGAAGTCATTACAAAACCACTAGAGCCTAGCTCAGACACCATACCCACGCACTCAGAACAACCTGGAAAAAAAAACACCACATCACGGGAAATCTCACATCTATACTACAGTGGTCCTCTTAGTTGCCTCCCAGAATAAATTAACCTCCTCCTTGATGAAAACAACCAGAGAGATGGCCGTCCGCTCCTTCTGATCAAAAACCCTTCGGTTTCGCTCCATCCACAGATTCCACGCGATATACGCGGCCAAAGTAATATCCTCAGATACTTTCTCTTTTTCACCTGTAGCAGAATACAGCCTGAACCACCATTCCCTAATCGAGGGTGTCGACGAAATAGCATTGTACATTGCGCTGCTTGTTCTGCTGAACTGGAACCAAACCTCCTTTGCATAGCAGCAGGACAGAGTTAGGTGTTCCGCGGTTTCCTCCTGCTGATCACACAACCGGCACATGGAATTATGTGACCACCCTCTCGCTCGCAGATGATCTGCCGTCCAGTTCCTATTTTGCAGGAGCAGCCACAAATAAAACTTGACCTTTCCTTCCATCTTGCACCTGCACACCCGGTCCAAACCCGGCATCGCAATCCTAGCTGCAAACTGAATTTCATAAGCAGAGCAAGCAGAGTATGCAGCATTTGCAGTTAAGTCCCAACTGATGCTATCTCTGTTGTTGGACAGCATCACATTCTGCACCTCCCCCCAAAGCCTGACAAACTGCTCGATCTGGGCATCAGTATGCATACGCTGTAACCCTTTCATCCATCGCCCATTGTCCATCGCCTCCTTGACCGATAACCTTTTGAGGCGGGTCAATTTGAAGATCTCCGGAGCAAGAACAACAGGTGCAACCCCATTCAGCCATCTGTCCATCCAGAAGGAAGCAAGAGAGCCATCACCCAACTGAATTGTGGTACAGCTCGAGAAGAGCTGCTTGTCAGAGCTGTCGCACGGCGTCGGGGTGCCCTTCCACGGCCTGTCCACCTCATCCCATCGAAACCACTCCCACCTCAGCCGCAGAGCCCGGCTGAAACATTCAATATTCTTCACTCCTAAACCACCATATTTCTTGGGGGAGCAAACCAGCAGTCCCCTCATGCTCTCGCGTTTTAGAAACAGAAATGGGCATACATTCTGTGACAAGTTATATGTGCATGTGCTAGTGAAAGTTCTCCCCAGCACCTACTCATTTATCACGTATACAGATGAGTACACGTAGGTGCCTTCTATACTACTCCCTCCGTCTAATAATATAAGAGCGTTTTTAACAGACAGTCATTCATCTATTATATTATCTCTTCTGACACATCAGAAACGGGCATACATTTTGTAACAAGTTCTTGCTATCAAACTTACTTTTGCACTATTCATGTATACGTAAGGTTTATTTCGCAATTCTTAGAAATGTGCACATGCTCTCTTTTAAAGCTAGCCAACAGAAGCATGTGAACAATCCGCATTTCAGCATTGCACGTACAGGCGTGCAAAAAGTTTGCCTGAAATGATATAGGCATCTAGCGGACGTGCATACATCATTGGCTCACATGCGGTAGCCAGCACATGCGTGCATGTCCCTACCTTAATTGCTCCGGCAATATGCACCCTGTCGTATCTTGTCACCGGTCAATCACTGTTACCCGCTAAAAATCTGGACGCCAAAGTTGGCGCCCTAAAACGAAGATGACAACCGGTGGGAATTCCGTGAAAATCCAACTTAAACAATCTAAATATATTATAAAAATGAGATATTGGGTGTATTATGTTATTTTTTATATCAGGTTTAAATTGTAAATTGATAAATTTTCATTGCATCTTTGATAGATAAAAATACAAACCTCCGGCAGCCTGATATCAAGTTTATAGGGGTAAAAACATACCCCCTCCGTGGTGCATAGGGCGTACACATGCTTCAAGGTCGGCAGTTTGACTAATCAAATACGCATTACATGTGAAGAAAAAAATATGTTTAAAAACATTATCCATATATGAATCCAATGTTATGCTACTGGTGGCACATGCCACATATTTAGTTAGCCAATTCGGTGACCTATAACCACACACACATTGCCCTATGCACCCGACCAGAGGAGTACTTTTCTGCTCATTATTTTGTGTTTTATCAGATTACGAACTTTGGACTTGTGGATAATGAAACTGTCAATGAATTCAGATTTTCACTACTCTGGTCAGTAGGTATTCTTCATAAACATGATCAGTTCGTAATTTTCATTTCAACTTCACCATGTTTACAAATAATGTACTTTTTTGGCATTTAATTTGGGCTGAAATAGGTGGCATGCGCGCTACCTAGTGGAGATCGGACCGTCCACCCTGGATAAGTGCGCCCAGTGTCCAGCTTAAATTGGCTAGGTGCACCCAGCAATTTGTACCCTCTAAATTCAAACATTCTATTAATTGTAAAATGCACATACCTTTTATCTAAGTCTATTTACCCATTTTCATATTTCTAAAACCATTTGGACTTATCCATGACCCATTTCACAAGTTGAATAGTAGAAATGGGCTTGGATCATCATCGTACTCCCTTCAGTTCATATTAATTGTCGCTGATTTTAGTAAAAGTGTATTAATTGTCGCTGATTTTAGTACAAATTGTAATAAATCAGTGTCAATTAATATGGATCGGAGAGAGTATTAAATATTTAAAGCTACTTTGATTCACAAGATTCTCAAGGACAAACACCAGATTGGAGTGACATGTCCTCTTGAATCCTATAGGATTAGAAAGCCACATGAATTTGGGAGAGAGAGAGAGAGAGAGAGAGAGAGAGAGAGAGAGAGAGAGAGAGAGAGAGATTCATAGGAAAAAGCAAAGGAATTGTACTAAGGTGTTTTAATTGATGGAAAATTCCAAAAACTAGGGTGCAAAAGCAATCCAGGGGCATTTTTTCTAAAGATATCGGATGATTTATATATATAGGAAAAATCCCTAAGAGCGCCAATCCTCCAAATTTCTATGACATTGCTTTGGACAAAATTAAATTAGGATATGTTAGATGGAATGGGCCATCTAATTTTGTGACGACGGTTATCACCATTATTTGTCGTGTAGGGTGTATGGTTTGATGTGGCTACCATGTCATTTAGTCCATACAGTGAGTCCACGTGGCATCTAGTCCATGATGAAAAAAATTGTAACAACTTTTTTGATGGTAAAAGAGTCATAGCAAATTAATGAAGAATATTATTTGTCGTGAACTTTATGATAAACATTATAAGATTGTCACTAGTTTCCATTGGTGATGTTCAGTTGGTTACCAATGCACCACTAGTCTTCACAAGCGATGTCTACCCTTAGGCCATCCTTTCATGAAGAAACAAAGAGGTTTTCTTCTACAACTTAACCACTAACCACACTTCGCCATCTACATTGACGAGTTGACATTTTGCAGCCATTGACAAAATGTTTAGTGCCGATATTTGTTACTACTAAAGGACACAATGCACACGCCAATGGTGACTAGTGCATAAAAAACTCATGGATCGAGTTTCCAGCCATGCCAAGGGAGCTATAGCTTCATCCATCACCTTGTGTTGCCACTATCCGCCACCATCGCCCGCCAGAGGAGGTCACGCCGCTGCTCAATCGAGACCACTCTATATGAGAGGCCAACATCACTCAAGAAGACATCCTTTCTTAGCCACCCATTGTAATATTCGAGGAGGATATTGGAGATGTTGAATTCGGTTGGTGGAGGCTGAAGGTGTCATGGATGTTTGGTGTAGGTTGTCGACATTGAAGAGTAGGCCAAATGCAAAGGACTCTTCAACCTTGGTGACGAGCCCATGACGCCTAGGCCACAATGGTGCATGACACACTACATGCGACTCTGCACGTTCCTCCTTTCGTGCTTCAACCAACGAACCCTCAACACATGATGTTGATCTCATCGACAAAGAAGTTATGGCAGAGGAGCGTGATCTTGACCTTGGCATAAAGGAAGTCGATGTAGCGGCGTTGATGAGAGGTAGATGAGAGATAAGTAATGGAGGAAGGAAATAGGAGCCGAGGGATTGTGAAGAGTAATAGAGGAAGGAGATCATGACTGGTGGTGGAGAGGGATCATTTCAATGGATATGCTAGGGTTAAGGTTAGTTAGGCTTGTATACAAAGGCAATAGATAAGAGGATCATTCTCGGACGGGCTTTTTTAGTTGGACGAAGTTGCTACTAACATGTCTTATTATACATGATGGCCACTACTGAGTTGAACAATAGTGACAAGCTTGACAATGTCACCACCGGCAGCCCCCTTTATTGGCGCCCATGAATGATGTCTGTTTCGTTAAATCTTTGTCACTGTTAGAGTACGTCATGCTACCAGGTCCGCAACTGCCCATAATTAGTGAAATCTAGCATATATTGTGACTATGGCACCCAACTAGTTAATATTTCCTCTTGCAGCCATGTCTCATGCACGTAAACCTATGTGTGGGCAACTTGGCCTAACACTTAAGCCCAAATGCCGGACAGCTGGGCCGGACTCAAGCTCTAGTTTTCTGCCGAGGCTTGGCCCGAAAGCCCGATAAAACATTGAATTACCTGGAATCTAGGGTTATTTTTTCGACACGGTAAAATTAGGGTTTTAGTAAAATATAGATGTAGCAATGTATTTTATATTCAAAACATGACTGTTATTAATATATTTTAATAATTGAGTAAAGCCCCCGTTTGTTTGTTTTGAGCTGAGCTCGGCTGAGCTTCAGGACTGGCTATTAAAAAGAAAATATCTAGTGAAATGAGCAATCGGTGCACACTATGCACCAAAGCTTTTGAGACCATTGAATGGAAATCTAAGAGACATAGTCGGGCTAGAAGATGGATTGTTTTCATTTTATGAAACATACCTCATACTATATGAAATTTAACCCGCACTCCACGCTTTGCCCAATCCCATTAGTAAATGTAGCGTTTATTTCTAGCCCCAAACACAAAAAGGGTATTATATTTTAAACCACAAGCCCAAATTCAGATCTGATTTGACCATCCTTTTTGTTTTGTATTGATGAAATGTTCGAAACAAGACCAATATAGAATATGTTTTGAAACATTTTCGAAATATTTTTTTGACACTTGACCGATATATTTATGAAATAACTACAAAATGTAGGATAGTGTTTCATTAAATTTACTCAAATATGTTGTTCTTATAAAGTTCTTGTGTAAGCTCCCTGTTACAAAACTGACCCATCAAGTTTCAAAAAGCAAGAAAAATAATTAAAAAATGTATGCAGCATCGATCTTGTTTTTAAGAGCTTGTCAAGATGAACATGTTAGTGGAAACGGATAAAAAAATGGCATATATGACCCACCCTTTTTATAGTTAGACCAAAAATTAAACACATGGAAATATTAATGGAGAGGCATGTGGAGTTTGGGTCAATTCAAACAAAACAGAAGGACTATTTTGAAAATAGGCCATCTACCCATCTTCCAACTTGACCCTCTCCCTCGGTTTCACATCCAATGGCTGCACTAGAATCGGGGCATCCGGTGCATAAATTGACGGGTACATGTAATGAGTCGGCAACTTCATTGAACTATTTGTGTTACTACCTCCGTCCCGGTGTATAAGTCATTCGCGTAGTTCTAGGTCGATAATTTAACTATCTAAATATGTATTATATGTGACAAAAAATATATATTTAGAAACTACATCCGTGTGGAAATCTAGTGGTATACTTTTCATGACATATAACACATATTTAATTCCTCAAATCGATGACCTAGAACTACGCGAATGACTTATACACCCGGACGGAGGGAGTACAATTAGCTAAAGCCATGACGTTAACAACATCCATAAATATGTCATTCTCAAGAAAAACATCCATAAATGTGTGTGTGTGTGTGTGTGTGTGTGTGTGTGTAAGAGAGAGAGAGAGAGAAAGAGATGGGTTACTTACAGCTTGGTGACGTACGGAGGCACCAGTGCCATGTCCCAAGTATGGGTAGCTGAGCGCCTGCGCACCATGCATGTACACGGAAGAACGAGTGAACATCAGTCATGCACATGAAATCGTACGTAACGTAAACAAGATTGTGAAAAAGAAAGGGGACAGAGAGACGAGCGGTAGAGAAGAAATAGAAAGAGCTAGACGAAGCACATCCAAAGCATGAAAACACAGGCACACACCCACATGCAACTTGCTGTTGTGCTGATTTCCACGCACGCACTTTAAGAGCGTGCTCTTACACCCAGCCCCACCCTTCCCCCTTTTTGTTTCGCCTGCAGCTCACGTCTCGCTTTTACAGGTAGCCAGGCACCACAGGTAAAATTTGCCGCCCCACACACACCTCTATACGTTACCCTGGCACTGCACCATGTTGCATGGTAGGTGTCATGCGTATTTGTTTAACACACATACTTGCATATTACATGAAAATGCCACCAATATTAAAGTAAAGGAAGCAGTGCATGCATGCATGTGTAAAAATTATACGTAGAAGCTAGCAACTACTAGAACTGAATATCAAAACTTTGCATCAAGCATTGGCAAGCTGCTGTCTGCACCTCTTGATGCAGACACCAGGAGACGAATAAAATCTCAACTCCTGAGAAATCAAACACACTACGAATATGAAGAAAAAATTAGGGCCGCTCGTGGGGAAGAGAGAGACAAGTTAAGGACGTTGGACCTCTATTTGACCCAGGAGGAATCCGATATAGCCAATAGTCTCTTGCAGCACGGACGCAGTGTCGGTCTGGTAAAATGGGAACAAGTGTGCATATATGTCAGTGTACTTCCTTTGCTGCATAAAGTGAAAGAATGTGCAGCTAAAAATAAAGGGCATGGGCAAAAGCTTCACATATATGCATTCCCATTCTATGTGTCAGCGGCCGCAAAAGAATATATTTTGCTAGCTTTTTGGGACCTGAAGCTTAATTACACACTGATGCACTAGAGGGATGAGCTCGCAGGTGAGATCATGCATAAGCATATTTGACATCAAGTGCTAGCTAGAGTGCAGTGCAGTGAGGTTTAACATTAACGTACAACTAAAATGGTGTAATACCTTGCCAAATGGGGAAACTATTTGGTGAAGTGCTGTTATTTTATCCCCGAGCTTCTCCTTCCTTACCTGAAATGACAAAATTGATGGGATGCAAATATGAATACACACCTTTTTTTAGCCAATATGCACATGTAAGGCAAGAAGGACTTTTTGTTGTATCTTAGCGTGTTCTATATCTTTTCCATATATCTGAAATTTTCAACATATTTCTCCAGTAACGAGCTTAAAACTCCCGGCTTCTGCATCATGTGACTCACACAACCATCTTTATTAAAATAGAGTATCCCATATCCGAAGTAGTATAAACAGCATAAACAAAGGCCATACTACACACCCAAGTTTCCAAGGGTGATACTTTTTTAATTAATCACTTTGGTACGTAAATACATTTAGAAAAAAAGAAAACAATATTACCATAGATCTATTTGTCATACACGAATGAGAAAATATAGATGAAGGTTCTTAGTTTCTTGGGGTTTGCAACGGTAACTTCAAAAAAAAAAACTTGATAACCGTGTGGACAAATAATTCTATCTATGCCTATGTTTAAGTAATTGCCTGGCTCTAGGAATGGTCGAAGCCATACCAATCAAAAAAAGATGTTACCAACACTAAGAAAAAGATGTTACCAAACAAACCTGACCTATTGACCCTTTTGCTATGGCAAGGCCTTCAACTTCATATATCCCTTTTTTAGGTCAATCCAGAATATAAATACATTCAAACTGAATCGTTTTTTTGGACATTTCATTAACACCTCTGGATTTATTATCATAGATAGTGTTCGAGATCCAAGTGATATATCATGGTAGCCTTAGCTATTCTTATCGAGAGATGGCCTTCTCATTAATTTGGTCAATACGTAGTACAATAATATGCGGAATACATTTTTTTGCATGGATAATAAAATATTTGTTGCTGCATTCCAGTTTACAAGCATTACCTGATCCTTGTGGGACTATGGGCAAAGTATTCAATCATATTTTTACGCTCAAAATTGAACATTGAAACACTTGGTTCGTTTTACATTTATCAATAGAGGGTCTAACATTTTTATATGTGGTGCAAATGTGCAATATATTGTCTAGGAAAGGGAGATGGGTACAAGCGTTGACAGGCTCTTCTGCTGGTATAGACAGAAAATTACATACTCCAGAGAGAGAATCAGGATTCTAAGCTAGTAATAAGAAAGGAGTGCGTCAAGAATAAAACCTTCAGAATAGACTGTCCAGTTGAAGAGGCGGGTTGAACCCTAGCCTTCTTGGGAGCTGATCCAGTTGCAGTGCTGTTACTCTGGAAGGTAGAAAAAAAAAGAAAAATCAAATCATGACTCTATTTCATCTTTAGTACAAAAAGAAACTGCTAACAAGAGTTAATTAATCCCATGGTTGATATTGCCCAAATTAACACGGATAGAATCCGATGTGACATTACACATATAAGTGAATCTCTATGCCCTCCCCGGCAAAAAAAAAAGGATCTCTACACCCTTAAGAAGATATGAAGTATGCACATGAGAAGTTTTTGTTTTTTGAGAATTTTGGAATTAATATTATTAGCTTTACAGAGAGTATATACACGACACACACACATATGGAGCTAAAGGTTTTGTATAATCAAGCAACGATCGATTCTAATTAAAAAGCGTCTAAGAATACATAGAATTGTTTGCGAAACAACTGCAAGCAAAGAAATATACCTTGCAAATTAATTGGAGGAAACGACAAAGAGTTTATGGGGGATTTCAGCCATGCATGAAGTGAAATTCAGTTGATCACCTCAGACGAGTTATCCGATTGTTGATTCCACAGCTCCGGTGCGGGCGCTGGCGCCGCGCCGTTGGAGAAGTCCAGCAAGCCGCCGTCGAGGTTCGAGGTGATGCATGACCTTGGAGAGAAAGCCAAGAGCATCTGGCTCAGCCGAGAGTTGGGCCCCGACGGCTGGATCTCCTCACCACCGCCATGGCCATAGAAACTGTAAGCTGGGGCTCCAGCCCGAGCCGCCATAGGACCCTCCTCTAATCCTTTTGACAGTAGATCTGACTCATGGTCTCCAACTAATCCTCCTCTGCTTTGTGGTTACCGACGCGTGCGTACGTACACATGCACCGTCCATACATGAAAAAACAACAAGTTAGTACTAGGAAGAAGAAACATGCATGTGAGATTTGCAGTAAAAGACCATTAGGGAGGGGGTTGATCAACAACAGGACAAAGCGTGCAGCTACTTAATTTGTACTGATGAAGAAATCTGCATGAATTGAAGGGCACCCTAGCTAGCTAGCACTAATTCTTGCATCAGTAGTAAGTAAATCACAGAGGACTGAGGGTGGGAGGTATAGACGAAGGTCTTTACAAAAGCATCTGGCTCCATGATTCTGGCATCTGGCTCTCCTCCTGTCCACCTTGAAAACTTGCAGGGGAAGTTGCAGCGCTGTCACGAACATCAGGAACTTGACCTGACGAGTGGTAAAGGAGCTGATGATCATGGGAGCAAGCCATAGAAGGAGAAGAAGACATGAGAGGCATGTTGGTGGATTCCTCTTGCTCCTCCTCGGCACAAGGCATCAGCCCACTCATGATATTGTTGGCGTTGCTTGTGCCACCACACACCATCTGTTGCACCATGGTGCCCTTGAATTCTCCTCCACCTACCATCCTTGAGCACCAAACAATTGACAACAAATAATTCTTGCGGCTGCACCAATCAAATTTCCAGAGGATCTTGGCTGCCGCAAATTCCTATGCAAATCTTTATGGTATGGTAGCTTTGCATGTCCTCATCTCCTCTCTCTCTTTTTTAGAAATGGAGGGTCCAGTGAGAGAAAACAACAATGAGAGAGAGAGAGGGGAAAAGGATAGGACCTGTTTGGAGAGGAATCTGGGCTTTTGTTTTCTTTTCTCTTCCTTTCGCTTCACTCCTTTCATTTGTGAACTTCCCCTTCCACTTTTCTCCCTCCTTCGCTCCCCTTTTGTATCGTTAATTAGTTTTCTTTCCTCTTGCCTCTTCCCGACCCACCTTTGTAATATTTTATATTATATATATATTATATATATATATATATATATAGAATAGTACATGTTGTTTTAGGTATTCAATCCGCGGTCCTGATCTCGTTTCTTCGATTGTAGGGTAATTCCCGTATGTCTGGATTGCCACCTGGCTTCTTCCGTCACTTAGATGGGTCAGGCTAGGCCAGCGCCCGCGGTAAAAATTCTGCGCAAACAAAGATGCGTGGTCATTTATCTTGCATAGTCCCACCTTGCTCCATTGAATGAATTCTTGCCAATTTAAATACGTTCGAAAATTATCCGCAATATCAACCAGTCTCCTCAGAAATCAACAAACAGCCATGAGGACGTTATAGCTACTTGAACAGGATGGCAGAAGCGGGGCGGCTTGGTCGTGCTGGTTGGTGCAGAGGCAAGGACGTAGAAACAGGGCGGCTTGGTGGTGCTAGTTGGTGCAGAGGCGAGGCAGAAACATGGCAGCTCAGAGATAAGTATTCCTCTCAGTTAAGAACCAAGGTTATCAATCCAGTAGAAAAACCACACAATACCTCATGAACAACACCTACACGCGAAATAACAAATACTTACACGCAACGCAAACAAGAGGTTGTCAATCCATTGGCGGTTAATTGCAAGGATCAAATTTCGTAGTGATAGATAGATAAACAAAGACACAAAATAAAATAAAAGTAAATAAAGTACAACAAAGTATTTTTGGATTTTGATATATGATTAAAATAGACCCGGGGACCATAGTTTTCACTAGAGGCTCTCTCTCGAACATAGCATACGGTGGGTAAACAAATTACTGTTGGGCAATTGATAGAAAAGCGCATAGTTATGAGGATATTCAAGGCAATGATCATGTATATATGCATCACGTCCGAGACAAGTAGCCCGACTCATGTCTGCATCTACTACTATTACTACACACATCGACCCCTATCCAGCATGCATCTACAGTATTAAGTTCATAAAGAACGAAGTAACGCCTTAAGCAAGATGACATGATGTACACAAAATAAACCCAATTAATATGAATAAACCTCATCTTTTTATTCTTAATGGCAACGATACAAGTATGTGTCATGTCTCTTTCTGTCACTGGGATTGAGCAAGGCAATATCGAACCCATCACAAAGCACCTCTTCCTGAAGAAAATATGCCCTAGAGCCAATAATAAAGTTATTATTTATTTCCTTATTTCATGATAAATATTTATTATTCATGCTAGAATTGTATTAACCGGAAACATAATTGTAACGCCCACGATGCGGCTATATCTCCCACATGTCGAAGCACGACTTAGAGGCATAACCGTATTGTAAGCAATGTCGCAAGTGAGGTAATATTCACAACAACCCATGTAATGAATAAGGAAAAGAGATACATAGTTGGCTTACAATCACCACGTCACACAATAGCATAAATAACATTACATTCATCCAGATACACTCAAGGTCCGACTACGGAACCAAAATAAAGAACAACCCCAAATGCGACAAAGTCCTCGATCGCCCCAACTGGGCACCACTACTGATCGTCTGGAAAGGAAACGTAGTATCGTCCTGAGTCCTCATCGAACTCCCACTTGAGCTCAGTCGAATCTCCTGAAGCGGTATCATCGGTCCCCGCATCTGGTTTTGGAAGTAATCTGTGAGTCACGGGGACTCAGCAATCTCACACCCTCGCGATCAAGACTATTTAAGCTTATAGGAAGGGTAAAAGGTATGAAGTGGAGCTGCAGCAAGCACTAGCATATATGGTGGCTAACATACGCAAATGAGAGTGAGAAGAGAGAGCAAAGGCACGATCGATAAACTATGATCAAGAAGTGATCCTAGAACAACCTACGTTCAAGCATAACATGAGATCGTGTTCTCTTCCTGGACTCCGCCGAAAAGAAACCATCACGGCCACACACTCTGTTGATTCATTTTAATTAAGTTAAGTTTCATGTTTTCTACAACCGGACATTAACAAATTCCCATTAGGGGTGTCCCAACTTAGCCCATCACAAGCTCTCACGATCAACGAAGGATATTCCTTCTCCCAAGACAATCCGATCAGACTCGGAATCCCGGTTACAAGACATCTCGACAATGGTAAAACTAAATCAGCAAAGCCGCCCGAATGTGCCGACAAATCCCGATAGGAGCTACACATATCTCGTTCTCAGGGCACACTCGGATAGGTCAAGCTATGAGTAAAACCAACCCTCGAGTTACCCCGAGGTGGCCCCGCAGGCTGCCCATTTCGGACCAACACTCAGAGGAGCACTGGCCCAGGGGGGTTTAAAATAAAGATGACCCTCGAGCTCCGAAAACCCAAGGGAAAAAGAGGCTAGGAGGCAAATGGTAAAACCAAGGTTGGGCATTGCTGGAGGAGTTTTATTCAAGGCAAACTGTTAAGGGGTTCCCATTATAACCCAACCGTGTAAGGAATGCAAAATCAAGGAACATAACACCGGTATGACGGAAACTAGGGTGGCAAGAGTGGAACAAAACACCAGGCATAAGGCCGAGCCTTCCACCCTTTACCAAGTATATAGGTGCATTAAAATAGACAAGATATAATAATGATATCCCAACAATAAACATGTTCCAACAAGGAACAAACTCCAATCTTCACCTACAACTAGCAACACTATAAAAGGGGCTGAGCAAAGCGGTAACATAGCCAAACAACGGTTTGCTAGGACAAGGTGGGTTAGAGGTTTGACATGGAAATATGAGAGGCATGATAAGCAAGTGGTAGGTATCGTAGCATAGGCATAGCAAAAGAGCAAGCATCTAGCAAGCAAAGATAGAAGTGATTTCGATGGTATGGTCATCTTGCCTGCAAAGTTCTCCGAGTTGACATTAGCTTGATCCTCGTAAACGTACTCAACGGGCTCCTCGATCACGTACTCGTCTCCCGGCTCTACCCAAGCAAGAACAACAAGAAAAAGGAGACACAATCAACCACGTGCAATGCACAAACAACATGATGCAAAACTTGTCATGATATGCGGGATGCGATATGTGTTGCATATGCAAGTTTCGGAAAGGAATGATTGAACCTGGCCTCAACTTGGAAAACCAAGTGTGTCACTGGAAAGATGGGTTGATTTCGGTCGAAATCGATATAAAGATCACCGGAATCGAATGCACGGTTTGCAAATGGCAAGCAAAACAAATATGACACAAAGCTGCGATTAATAGCACGAGGCCATCTAAATGCATCAAGAACAACAAGCTACTACACTCAAACATAGCAACAAAATACATGAAAGGGATCCACTCAATATGCTTGAAAAAAGATGAACACTGAGCTACGGCTAATTCACTCAATAGCAGGTTCAAACAAGCATGGAAAAAGTGCAAAAGATAACAGGTTACAGACTTAGTGAAAATAACAACAAGTCAGGAATTTTAACATCAGGAAGCAAAGTTTAGAGCACGATAACAACATGCTACAGGAACATATCATGGCAAAGCAAGGCATGGCATGAAGCTACTCAAAGCATACAACAAAAGTCCCTTACTGACCATAAGCCAAAAGAGATCAGAAAATACAATGGCAACCATGTGAACATAGCAATTATCGTTCACAGGTTCATACTTAGTAGAAAACTGTAACATGGCAAAACAGATATCAAGTAGGCATGTTTACGAGCTCGATGCACTCACCACAAGGCATTTCATGACAAACTAAGCATACACCCAGCAAGTAGACATGGCATAGAAGCTAAACATGGCAAGAATAACTACATAGCATGCATGGATGAACTACAACATCCTCGGCAAAAATGCTTAACACGTAAACAATCTGCCAGGAACATTTTATAGCAAAAGTAGAGCTCGATTGACTCAAGCTAGGGTGCTCCATAATTGCAAACAAAGACATGGATGGATAGCGCACAACAATATCTACAAAACATCCTTACTGATCATGCTCAAAAGAGGCATGGATCACTCTGTAGCAACATGGATACATGGCATAAAAATATTGACAGGACAAAGACTTAGAATATTTCTAAGTCCCTGAAATCAGCAACATTACTAGAGCTACTTTGCATGCTTGTGCTAGTCACCACAGAGATCACAAAAATACATGGCATACACCCCTGTAAAGATAGCATGGCATACTTCAAAACACATGTAGAGCTCAAGTTCATAGGAGGCACACATCAATCATGGCAAAAATGACAAATGTCCAATTACTGATATGAATCTGAAACTAACAGAAACTAGCACTCTTCCAGCAGCATTTAGGGCATCAATATGAGCTCAAATGAACATGATGCAATGAGATGAAATGAAGTACTCGTCGAGACGAACATTTTGATATGCTACACGCCCAAAACGGAGCCACGGTTGCAAAGTTATGACATGAAGAAGAATGCCAAAAATATCTAGGGTTAGAGCAAAAGTCAACCTCTGAATTCCAGATCTGGATCCGGGCATGGACTTTGAGGCACTCGCCGGAGTTATTGTTTGCCGGAGAGGGGCTTGCCAGACTCGAGGGGGAAGAGCTCGCCGGAGTAGCGGTGGTGGTCGGGGACGCCGGACGTCGAGGGTAGGCGCGCTAGTCGAGGAGCGGCGCGGTCGGCGAAGGGCGGCAGAGGTCGCCGGGCGGCGAAGGTCGGTGTCGGCGCCGGAGCA